GAGAAGTGTGTAGAGTCACAAGATTATTACAAGAATCGAATTAAAACATTTAGCAAAGTATTCAACACAAATTAGGCACTAAATTTGTCACTGTAATTATAACAAATACTATGGAGTGTTCTGTTAGGGCAAGCCACATGACGTCAGGGTAGGCTGTATGGTATGAATGACCTGCGGTTATTTAAGTGCTCATTATCCAGTTAGAGAGTTATGAAGTTTCCTAATTCTCAATTATTCAAGGAACTGGATTTTATTTGGTTTCTTTAATTCTGGCGCTGTGGCATGGGTGGGAGATGCCCCAAAGAAGAGTGCAGTATGGTATTTGCCATGGAATTTATGATGCAAGGTTTGGAGAAAAATGCGTTACCCAGAACAGTTGGCAACAACATTTTGGGACAGGCGATAGTCGAACGGGGCGTGAGGGAGGCAGGGAATAGAAGACAAGTATAAGGAGGATGTCTTTTCTGGGTACCAAGTACGAAAAAAGATGCTGCACATCTTCTAACCAGTTTTCTTCCTTGTTCTTCCAAACAGAAAGCATAAGTAAAACCTCAGAGTCTAGGGAAACATGATGTGCTCACAAAATACTAAAACTTTGTGGAAAAAAATGTGCAGAAGAAAAAGATAAATCTCATCTCTTGGGTTCCTAGAGAGTCACTAGTCTTTCTCCAATTAAATGCAATTTACAGTTGGGTGGAGATTAGGAGTTCTTCTTTATCTCCTATCAAGCTAAAATCTGGCAAAATCTCTGGTAAATCTTGGCTTTGGAGTTTTCTCTTTATAAAAGCAGATTTTTTTGTGGGGGGAAGGAGAGTAAACATGTTATAAAATAGGAAAGTATAAATATTCTTACAAAAGGACAAACCAATAAAATTCTTCTGGGTATCCCACACCAGTGCAGGGTCCCAAGGCTTTGGGCTGTCCTCGAGATTGCTTTCCCAGGCCACAAGCAGGGAGCTGGATGGGAAGTAGAGCAACCAGGACACGAACTGGCACCTATATGGGATCCTGGCGCATGCAAATTCATAAGATTATAGCTGTAATAACAGCAGGCTGATGAATATTTCTACAAATCATAAAATCTGTCCTTAAATTTTGTTGGTGTCTCTCTGCAGAGAAACTTCAGTGAGTCTATGGAGACATAGTCTTACTTGCCTGGTACTTTTGGGCACAGATTAATTTTATGAATTACAGTGTTAGGAGACTGCTAGGTGCCACATCAAATCTCTATCCACATCCATATTTGCATCATATCTATCTCTATAGCATCCTTTAATTTCATAAGTAGAGAGAATACAATGCATATTTTAAAATTCATATCTCTAAAAAGCAAGAAACAAAATTTTAAAAAGCACTTGGTGTGTCTTAAAACTATGTGAGGTTCTAAGAGGAACCTAGGTATCTAGGAATTTTAATTTTGCGAGGGGTTATATCATAAACGGGTACTAGTAGTACATGATAGTTATTTTTGAATAATCTTCACTAACTAGATAAAATGTTTCATGCTATGATGTGCAATTCCCCAAATTTTGGGAGAAGTTTTCACTTGTCCATGAAGTAAAAGCCTGGAAATGTGACGCCCAGAAGCCAAAGAAGAGCAGAGTAGCATGGTGGAAAGAGCATGTGCAGGAATGTGCTAGTTAGTCTCACAGGGCTGCGGATCCTGCAGAGTGGGTGTTTCTTTTCTTGGAGTTCCTATCCTTAACTCTACTTCCAGGGATCTGGCTCAGCGGTTAGTTCCTTTCAGAAACAGCACTCTGTTGATGACGGAGAGGTTTTGCATTCTAGACCCAATGTGTCCCATATATCCAGTTCTTGGAGAAAAAGGATGATTTAAGGGAAACTGAATACAGAATAACCATGAAAGCAACTGAACAGCTGCACAATAGATGCTCAGATGAACCCATCATAAAATATATGGTGTGTCAAAACAGCTAGGATACCAACGGGAAAATTCTGTCTTAAGGACCATTGGCTTAGTGACATTGTGTTTGCCAAACAAGCACTGAACATCTGTTTTTGTCTTCCCTTTATTTTGTATTTCAGTCTTGAAAAAAATTCCTTAGAATATATTTTGCTTGGTTCACTAATGTTCCTCAAGGCTATTTCAAAAAGGAAGCTTTCAAATTGCTTTCTTAATGCATTAAAAATATGCTAACATATACTGCCAATTTAGCGTAAAGTCAAAGTCCCTCTGTTGCATGTAATAAGCATTCAGTAGGTTAATTTAAAGATATTTTAATTAAAATGCCCTTGCATTATGATTTTGCATGCTTATAAACATAGCTAACAGCTGTTTTCTCTCTCTCTCTCTATTTCTCCATCCCTCTCTCTCTCTTGTTACATTGAGGGGCTAATTTTGCTAGTAAGTTCTCTTGTGTGGCTACTGTACAGCATGCTTTATGCTTTTGCAATTGTCAAAACAAACTTCCCTACTCACAGGAACTCTGATCCAGTATCACTGTCAAAATGTTTTACAACGATTCGGCCAAATGTTTGCAGAACAGCTGTGCTACTAGTCTGCCTGAGTCATTTCCCTTCTTCCCTTTTGGCCCAATCCTGTGATTCATCATTCTGCTGTTAGAATATCTGCCTATTTTTAAAACCAGTCAAAGAAGGCAGCCACTGTTTAAAAGTAAACACCCTACACATCAACTTGGGGCAGCTCTGTAAGCAGCTTCGCAAGGCTGACATTTCTGCCTGGCAGGGATGCCAGCTAAGCCACATGGCATCAGGCAGTGAGGCAGAGGACTGGCTTCCAGGCTTGGAAGTATCCTTACGTTCGCCTTTGGTTTTCTTGTCTCTGCTGCCGTTTCCTGCTTGAGCTGGTCCAAGTTGATCCATGCTTGAACAAAAGTTTTTCATTTTGCTGATCTCTCTGAAATATCCACTATGTGCTTGTTTTCATGTCAACTAGTTAGACTTTAACTCAGGGAGTCCAAGCTTAAGCCTGCATGCATCTGCAGAATCATCAGTATGACCACAGACATGCTTTAACAGGGTATGACTATAAATAAGTTTGCATATTTCCATAAGGAGTTCATTAATGCCAAGTGATACCAACTATTTGGTTTTTGAAAAATGACTATTTTAGTTGTACACCTTTAGAGGGCTTGAGATACATGTTCAATGCATAAAGATCAAATCACATTAGTTAGAACTATCATTTCCTTAAGCATTAAAAATGTTTTTCATGAACACTTAGTGTTTGTACGTATTTATGAAATACACGGTGACTTGGCAGTGACCGTGCATTTCATAACTATAGTCGCTACTTACTATTTGCATTAATACAAATGTATAATTTCTATTTCTTCTTTTGAAAATAAAACAGGATGGAGTGTGACTTCAGAGGGGCAAGCATGGATAAAGTCTCAGGAAACCTTGCATTCCACTCTTGGCTGGCTTCCAGAATTCTTGACTACCCTGCCTGTTCTTATACTCAGCAGCGTAGGATTTTCCTGCTAACCCGTGCCTGCTCTCGTGAGGGCACTTGATTATTAAGCTTGAGATGCCCAAGTGAAATATGTTCCCATTACCTATCCCAAGTTCTTCTGGCCTTCCCCCAATGAAATAATATAGCCACGATGTCCAAGTGATTGAACTTATACTGAAGTAAATATAAGTGCGCCTAGGCAGCAACTCAATTTTACAGTTTAAACTTGATAATGAAGCCTACTTCTAGATGGTTGATATTGACAACAAGCTGTTTATGCCTTTTATCCACCTCTTAATATAATGGAGTGGATTTAAAAAACTATAGTAATTGGCAGAATTTATCACTTCTAGTCTCAGAAGGACCTGGGAGTTGCAGCTCCATATATTCTCAAGACTTTTTTGGCCTGTCTGACAAAGGTCTTGGGAAAAAAAATGTTCAGTTTCTCCTTGGTCTGTTGAGCTAAAGTTAGAAAGCATTAGTGAACTCTAGACATCTATTGTCTGGCACAGGTGCAAATGTAAAATGGATTCATATTTGCTGAGGTACTGCATTATTTTAAGCTACATTTAAGTGGCAGTATTATTGTACTACTCTTGGCTAGCATTTATCAAATACTATTAAGTAATGCAGCCATTGAGGTGTCTGGCAGACGTTAATATCATCCTTGTTTGGTTCTTTTGGAGGATTATCTTTGGTGCTTTTAAAGAAACACAGCCCCTTAGAAACTAGGACTGTACTGGGTTCTACATTTTTCTTGTGGACTATGCTTTCTATTGATAGAGAGAGGGGATAGCCTCTATATTTGTGGGTTTTATACCCGTGGATTCAGCCAATGGCAGATTGGAAATATTTAAAAAGAATGGATTGGTGTTGTGTGTGTCTGTGGATTTGCATATGCTAATCATATTCATTGCATTGATACATAATCTAGAAATGATTTAAAGTATATGGAAGTTGTGCATATGTTGCGCATAAACGTGTCATCAATTTATAGTTTAGATCTGAGTATGTATGGGTTTTGGAATCTATGAAGATCCTGAAATCACACAGACATCAAGGGATGTTTCGATATCATGAATGACCTTAATCACTTCTCAACAAAAGGGATTATTCAGTTATTATCAATACATCTAATTGTGATTGTGCAAATAAAAAGATGTTAGCTTTCCTTGTTTAATTATGATGGAAAGTAGGTTTGATTTTACAAATTTCCCTTTTTGGCCTGTGGTCTGTATTATTTCCATTGTCCTAGTTACTGGGCTAGGTGTTGGCTAGGGCGAGTGAGCCTTCCAAGTCATATTTTGCCTGCAGAGGTTGGAGGTTTTGTTTCTCAAGGGTTGGTCCCCAGGCACCGGCCTGTCCCTGGAGGGGTTTGGGGGAGACTTGGGCATTTCAGGCCAAGTTGCTGCCACATTTCCTTAGTGCTTCTGAGAAATACAGCTTCTCATCCAGCTGCAGCTGCTGATGTTACATCAGTCCTTTAAGGACCGGCTCAGGATGACTGTACAGCAGTGGCACATGAGGTTTGCAGGGCTCTGTACTCAGTCACACTGTCCACAAAGCCAGGGATTCTGCTTCAGGTTGCAAGTGCTGTCTGGCACTCAGGGAGAGATGGCCTGGTTGGGTTGCTGCCTGTTAGCCTCTGGAACCCAGAGCGAGTTCCTGGTTAACGGCCTGTGAGTGGTGGTTTGTGGTTAAGAGCACAGGGCAAAACCATCAGAGCTTGCGACACTTTCGGCTGTTCACTTGGAGAAGTAATGCTTCTATTTTTCACTAACAGATTTTTCTCTCTCACTGAGGTTGTTCTGGTTGTCTCATTATCTCCTTGTTAAAGCATTTTCGCGCATATCATATATTTTTTCCCTTTTTGTTTGTTTCTGGTTAATGTGAGACTATCAAAGACAAGCAGTCTTGTTAATTGGAGTGCTTCCAGGTTGGATACTTAATTCAGATTGTAATTTATTTATTTATTTATTTTTTCTGGCAGGACCTATTGAGCTCCTCATATTTCTGTGTGTACAGAAAAGCAGCAAGTTGTTGTCTTTTACATCTTATCTTCTCCCATAGCTAAGCAATTTATATAGGTGGCTCCCTAATTGTATCCACCTGGGTTTCCTGGCAGACGACTCCTAATAAGAGAAAGGGCTCCATTCTGAACATTTTGTGTTTGTGTTTAGATGATACACCTCCTGAAGACTCCATTCCTTTGGTCTTTCCAGAATTAGACCAACAGCTACAGGTAAGAATTTTCTTGTAATTTCCCTTTAATTGTTAGTGTTATAAAATGCAGTGAGCTGATCTAACTGGGAAAGACTGATTTGCAGACAGAGTAGGTAAGTCATCGAAGTTCTCTAGAACTGCATAGTCAGGCCCAAGTCCTTATGCAGTACCCCAGGTTGTTTGGCCATGGCACAAGAACACTGAGAACTTAGTCAAGGTGACTTCAAAGAGTTCATGTAAAATATGTGTTCTGAAGGAAGCTTCATGGATTTCAGAATTGTTGATGAAAAAAAAATTTTATTTCATTTTCATGAACTTTTTGAAGAGTCCCTCAGTATAAACTACCTACTACACTTTTTACAAATTTTAATTAATCAAGAGAGGCAGAGAGATGGAGAGAGAGAGAGAGAGAGAGAGAGAGAGAGAGAGAGAGAGAGAAAGAGAAACAGGAAGGCTCCTATCTATTGCCCAAATGCTTGGGAGCATTTGGGTTCACTCCCCAATGCTTGCAGCAACCAGCATTGGACTGGAGCTCAAGTCTGGAGTTGAGGACTCAATCCAGGTTTGTTGCATGGGTGACTGGTACAAATGTGGTTGTACTGGTGGGAAGCTGGATTGGGTCACATGCTGCAGTGAGGGAATTGAACTCAGGCACTTCAAAATGGTAGGCTGGCATTATAATCAGCATCTTGACCCTCTAGGCCAAAGGCTTATTCCAGTTGCCATTTGGGGTTAGGACTAGTCCCTGATCTCCTTTGCTGTGGATGTCTCTAGATCATTGAAACTTGGCTCTGTTTTGGGTTAGTGATTGAACTCTATAGAGAAAACTTCTGTTTTGGACAAGACTTTGGATAATCTGCATTCTACTTCTAGCTCATTGCCCACTTCTCTGAGAATTTTTAATTGGATATAAATATAGTTAACCTGAAAACTGCCTGATTTGATCTGTAAGACAAATATTTTATATACAGAGTTTCTGAATGACTTATCAAAATATATCTCATCTAAATGTACCAGAATTATTTGAAAGGAGCTAATTTATGACATTTCAATTTCCTTTAGACGATGTATGGTAATTCAAGGCAAAGATCGCTCTAGAAAGAGTTTGCTGAAAATATCTGATTCTGGCCTTGCATCCACCCATTTATTGGAGTATTTAATTTTGTAGGTACATTTAGGCAAGTCAAACAAGGCAAATCTAACTCCCAGACATAGATGCTTGGCTTAGTTACTACTTTCTTTCCCTAAATAAGCACTCAGGAGGAGCCTATAATCTCCAGCTTCCAGCAAGTTCTGAAATTCCCTATTATGAATTTATTATCCCTTATCCAAAATGCTTGGGATGACAAGTGTTTAAGGTTTTTTTTTTAAATCAGATTTTTGGATTATTTTCATATACATAAAGGTGTCTTCACAGTGGGACTCAAATCTAAACATGAGAGTTATTTATGTTTCATATGTACCATATCCTAACGGTAACTTTAGGCAATGTTTCTAGTGTGTGTGAGGTATGAGTGCAGCTTGTCCCAAGTGGTAAGGTGTGAAAATTTCCACTTGCAGCATCATACGGTGATGAAAAGTTTTCAGATTTTGAAGCAGTTTCGATTTTGGTTTAGGGATGCTCCTTCTGTGCTTTGTACCCAGTCACTTCTTCCATTTGAGGGTGTACCTGGTGTCCTATAAATTTGGGATCTTGTTCCTGGATAGTCCCTGGCAAAAGGGGGAGGAGGTAAGAATGATCTCTCTGCAACTTGAGATGATGTTCCCGTTTGTTTGCTTCTGCTCTTACCTCAGTACTCAGGGCACAGAGCTAAAAACCCGGAAACAGCTAGGTTAGTTGGAAGGAACTGGTGTTCCACTGCTGGGTGGTCTCTAAAACCTGAGCAGGAGTCACGTGTGCTCTGGTTTCCTTTAGGTTCCTTCTTCTCACCTGGGCAGCAGCACTTCTACAGAAAGCTGGCTTTACTGAGTAGCACCAGTTATGCAGGTGCTACTAAAAGTTGACTAAGAGTGGTAAGGTATTACTGATCAAACAGTTGTTGCCAAAAGGCAGCCTAGGTCATTCCCTAAGACTTTCCCTTCAACTATCAGCCATTTTCTCACCTCTGACCACATTGCAGGGTCTTCAGACTTGCTTTGCTGGTTCCTGGTATCTAACTGGACATTTTCTACCCTTTTCTCTCCCACCAATAATTCTTTTCAGATTGGAGAAGTATTTAGCGACCCTCATCTCACTTCCACATGTTATTATGGAAATAAGTAGACATGTACTGGAACAAAAACCCCAGTAAAACCATATTCAAGTTCTTACTATCTCATCAAATTTGGAATCATGAATTGTGCTTTTGTGGACTGGAAAACAATGTCCCTCTTTGGTGATGTTATCAGTCTTTCTTGCCGTGGAGGACTCTCAGGATTCCCTGGCTATTACCCAGATAAATTTTCTGTTACGGTACTGCTAAGTCTATTTAAATTTTATAGCTTTAATTTCACTTGACATACATTAGAAATTAAATACATTTAATTATTTTATTCTAATGAGAGAATTTCATCTGTATTGATCATTAATGAGTTATATAGCTTAGAGGGTGATATCAGACTCAGAGGCTTGTTTTTTTTTTTTTCCTCTTAGTGCTTTATCTCTTCATGGACTTAGACTATCTCCAGAATTACAACTAAAAATGTTTTAGGGCTTGCTGACAGAGGAAGGAAAGGACTGAGTTTGTTAGCTAATGTTTATCAGTTGAGATACTTGTTATTGGTGCCTCTATCTAGAGCTATTGTTTGCTACCTGTATTCTCTGTAATGGAGCATCAATAAGTAAAAAGCAAGTAGGTAGGAACTGAGAGAGGGAAATTTAACACAGAAAATGACGTAAGTAGAGTCTTGTTTTCATGCTTAGCATAAGCACATCCATTTAAGCCATTCTACTGCAGGGAATTGCAGTACTGAATACGATAAAATTGCTTTATATATCAAAGGAGCAGTCTGTTACATGGAGCAGGCCTTCTTTATAGCCAGTCTCATGTGTTTTCATCACATAGTAATGGCATTTACTATGCTGTCAACTCTTGCAACCTACTGTGGATGTGTAAAACTTGGGTTATGAAGGCATATGGGGTTGTTACTGTTTTCTTGAGAATAGAACCTCAAAATCTTGCCTAGCATAAAATAAAGGATGCCAAGTGATGATAGCCAGCCCCACTCTCTGCAAACCCTTGGACTGAAATTTCATTAATGTATATTGAATACCCAGTAGGCGAGAGGTGGTTTCCTACATAGGATCTCAGTCGACTACTGAAATAATTATGTAAACTAAATATTATAATTCACTGTGTAGATGAGAAAGCTGATGTTAAATCTGGGGCCAAAAGAGTTGCTACCTTCCTCTTTGCCATAGATGCTTTGTGAAACTAAAGTTCCACTTGAATTAATTTGGTAAGTATAGATTTTTGTTTATTTGTTTTAGGTTAGCAAGGTTGTTATGATGGAGTATAGAGTAATCTCATAAAACATGTTCTGATCTTGACGTATCTATTACACATTCTTGGGTAGTTTTAAAAATGCAGCTACAAAATGTCTATTTGTTAAATACTCTAACACCAATGTGACACCCCCCCTCTAGATTTTTATGTTGCTCTGCCAAGAATGTGGACATGTTTGAACATGTAATTCATGGTGCTACTATTTTCATGGAAGCCTAAAAAAGCCTCGTGTAAGAATAGCAGTGACGAGCATTTCTCTTGATGGCTCTATTAATGCAAAATGTTGGGCAAGAGACTTCAGAGTAAGTAGGTGTTACAGCAAACATCTCTTCATAGTGCTCACTTGTGGGCCTTGGAACTTAGCCCAGCGGCAGGTGGAAGGTGATTTTGCTTTGAGCAGATTTCTTTCTTGGGACTGATTTTCTAAACTCCCCGCAGTCGTTAGCAGTATTTGGTCAGACACGGCTTAGATCTTGCAGGTAGAAGAAAGGAGTTTCTATTCCATGCCTACTTCCATGGACAAATAAAAGATGAATATTTTTGTTTAGGTTTCAGTTTCCATTTATTCAAAGAAGTGGTAAAGATCTCTCTCTCTCTCTCTCTCTCTTTCTCTCGCTCTCTCTTTTCCCTCCTCCACCTCCTCCTGAAGGATAAAAAATTCTGTAGTGGTCCCACAGTTTGGGAAACACGAAAAATGTGTCTTACATCTTAGTCTTGTTGGGTTTTTGGGAACTGTGCTTTGAACTATACATGATCCAAAGCATGGCTAAAATGTGATCTTAATGCATTGAAATAGGTAACATATTTTTATGATCAGGTGCAGAAAGTAATAACAGATAGATTGTAATTCATGTCCTAGTTGGAATCGGCAATGACTGAGGCGTGGGCATTAGAGTGGTCTGGATAACCTACAAATGTTATGACTTCTAGCATATTATTTAGTATTTCTAAGCCTCACTTTCTCAACTGCAAAGTGTTGATAACTGTGTTATCATAAGACTATGATATCATGAGACATGTTATCATAACACTGTTATGAGACTATCATGAGTTAGTCTCATATCACTATTAGGATTCAATACAGTTATGAGTAGATCTAGTACAATCTTTAGAAAAATAATTGCTCAATTGATATAAATTCTCTTCATGAGTGAAATTATTGATTGGGTAAGCTATTTAGAAACAGGTAAATAATTTATCTTTGTATATGCAAGATAAAAGAAAAGAAATGTCCGTTCTTTTCATCAAACAAAGATACTTGGACAGTAGTATGATATTTTTGAAGTTAAATTGAGCAATAGCTTCAATTTCTCCCGAAGTACTAATCTAATCTGACAGTGACAGGTGTCTCTGTAGTACACACTGAACTTGCCTTTTCTGAGTCCGATAAGTTCAGAAACTGATGTCACCGCCACAAATAAACAATTTCGTAGCTTCGGTTGTGTACTATAATATCTTGATATTCGAGAAACCTCTCTAGAAATTTTTTTGACACCTTACATCAACATACCCCTTGATACCCGAGACATGAAAA